TACTATTTTACTTAGAATATACTTCTTATAAGTATATATTCTTTAGGGCTTTAAGATAGCTAAAGTTAGACTTTATAAAGTAGAAGTTTCTTATTTCTTTTATAAAAGTAGGCAAACTTTATAGTCTTCTATAGTAATAAAAAAGGCTTAGCTAGTAGTAAGTTATAAGTAAGCTTATTATACTAGATAGCCTATATAATAATAGTTAGAATTAAAAGCCTACTAAAGTACTTAAAAATAACTAGTTAATTCTTTATACGTCTACTCTTATAAAGATTTACTTTAATTATTTATAGTAGTATTATACTACCTAAGAGTAAGTAAAGCTAAAGTTTATATTGTAGAGCGTATTTAGGAATACGTAGTTACGTAAATCTATTATAGCTATTATTCTAGAGAAAGAGGTTATTATAATAAGAAAAGAGGCTATTATTATAGGAGAAGAAGCTATAATTATAAGAGACGATGCTATTATTATAGAAAAAGAGGCTATTATTATTAAAAAAAAAGATATAGTTAAAGCAGTGGAGAATTCGCAACTAAGATTCAAAATATAGAGATATCTTCTCTAGAACAATTATACGCCTGTTATAATAGTTAAGAGGATATTACTAGCTCTTATAATAATAACTAGGTACTACTACTTTTTAGTATACTACACAAATTTATACCTAAAGATTATCTAATAAATCTAGCAACTTTAATAAACTTATAGATAGGCTTGTTAAAGTTTACTTAAATTCTTTAATAATAGCCTCTAGACAGCAGCTATTATAACTAATAATAGCCTCTAGACAGCAGCTATTATAACTAATAATAGCCTCTGGACAGCAGCTATTATAACTAATAATATATTAAGGAATACTAAGGCTCTCTATAAGTAAACTTAGAAAATATATAAAAGTTTTTTTTTTAAAAGTTAAGTCTACTTAGCTCTAAAGGTTTAATTTAAGTAAGACAGGTAACTAAACGAATATAATTAGAGTTAATTAATAGTTTTTCTAAGTATTTTCTACTTTATACTAGAATAACGTTTTATAATTATAATACTTACGCTACTAATAGTTTTAAAAGATATAATCTAAAGGTTAAGTTTAAATTACTATAACTACGTTTTTCTAAAGAATAAAAAGACTACTTTCTATTATTAATTTATTATAGATTATAAGCATAGAGTAGAGTGCTTAAATAGCTAATATTACAAAATTATAATAGAATAGCAGTATACTTATAAAGGTAGAAGCTTCTAGACGCTTAATTTAAAAATTCCTAAAACTAATTTTAGTTAATAGTAGATAAGCAGAGCTTTTTTATTTTTTTATTGTGTTTAGCGTCTAGATGCTTCCAACTCTGCAAGCATACTGCTATTCTTTTATTATACTATTATATTACCTCTTTTAAGCACTTTAACCTCTACTTATAATCTATAATAGATTAATAATATAATTAGAGCCTTAAACTACAAAACTTTACATTTAAAAAAAAATCGAAATATAACCTTTAATATTCTTTTTTTAACTCCTATACTCTAGTATCTTATCTATAATACATAGAAACTTATTATATATTACTATATTATAGAAATAAAGCGCCTATTTACTACAGGTGTTATAGTCCTCTTAATAATAATATTAATAATAATACTAGCTATAGATACTACGCTAACAGCTACTTCTTAATAGAGTAAGAATTAAATTATCTTTAGTATAAACTACTTAAATAGTACTTTAAGTACTAAGTATAAGCTTATAGATAGTTAGTTAACTTATCTAAGTTAAGCTTAAAAGAGCTTATCAATAAGCTTGATTAAAAAACTATTTGTTTTTAAGTTCTCTTTATAAGTACTATTCTTATGCTAACTAAAATAACTATAAGTTAACTATATAAACCTTTTGCTTATACTTAGAAATAGTAAGCAAAGTTATTATATAATATAGTTTTAGGTAGTAGAATAAAAACTATTAAAGAAAATAAATACATCTAAAACATTTTTAATTATTATAGCTTTTTACTACTAAGTTCTTTATATAAGAATAATAACATCTCTTAACTTAGCGCTTAGCGCTTAGAGCTTAGACTTTTTCTATTATACTATTAGGAATAAATATAACTATATTACCCTATTAGTAATATATCTATATTAACATTATAAGTACTACCTAGTTTTTCTACCTAATATACTTAGATTCAAAACAGCTTACCTATACTAGTCCCTTATACTACCTTTAGTTTTTTATTATCTACTTATTAGTTGTATTTAAATTGCTTACGTATACTATTTCTTAAGCTTAGTTAATTCGTTTATATATATAATTAGTTAGTTAATTTATACAAAAGGTATAAGATTCTTTCGATATAGTATCTTAATAATATGGTAATAAGAAGTTAAAAAAAGGTAAAGGTAATATACGCTTATAACAGCAAAGTAGCTCTATTTATAGATAATTAAAGAAAGACCTAATCTATACTTTAAGACTTATACAAGACTAGAACTATACACTATTCTTTTAGCTATACATTTGTTTTTAAGATATTCTTTCTTTTATAGCTTTAGGTTAATTACTTTAACTTTTAAAATATAGAAGTATAATAACTTTTATTATTAGATACTATATTCTTTCTACTATATAAGTAATAAAGTATATTTTTTTTAGTAGCTTTAACTAGTACTAATAAATAAGTAAGCTTATAAGCCTTAATTCTAAAGAGTATTATTATTATTTAGTCTTTCTATAGTTTAGAGATCTAGCTAATATAAATCCTATGTATTTCTTTATTAATCTATTTTCTTTGGTATATAAAGTACTTAAAAAGGCTTAGAACTATTTAGAATATAGAATTTTTTCTAATACTTAGCGTTTAGAGGCTTCTACTTTTATAAGAATACTACTATTCTATTATATACTTCTATAATATTAGCTATATTAAGTACTTTACTTTGTACTTATAATTTATAATAAACTTATACTATAAAGTTGTTTTTTTTCTCTAGTAGAACGTAGTTATAGTAATTAAAACTATACGTTTATACTATATAATTAGAATTATAGTCTTATAACATATTCTAAGCTACTAGCGTATTATAGTTATATATAATCTAGATCTTCTAGTATTACTTATAATATAATCTAAATATAACCTCTTTAGAAGAAGTAGTAGTATAACCTACTTAGTTACATTACGTATATTTAGTTACTTATGTTACTTAGACTAGTACTATAGAATATAGATAGTAATAACATTTATATATTTTTATAGTTTAGTAGAAAGCTTAAATATCTCTTAATCTATAATTTTTCAAATTATAGCTATCTAGAAGAGAACTTAAAGTAACTTTTTGTAAGTTTATTAAACTTAAAAATAGAAGCTTATTCAAACTTATTTATTACTAATGTTATTATAAAGTTATACTATAAAACAAAACTATAGTACTTAAAAAAATAGCTTAAAAGACCTTATTATATAAAAGTTAATAAGTAGACTTCTTTAGAAATATATAACTTATTTTTTTTAATACTATTAGCGCTAGATATTACTACTATATTTAAACCTAAGAATATATCTATAAGTGTACTTATAGCTATTGCTTATATATAGATTTTTATTAATTGTTTTTAAAGCTACTTTCTATAGTAAGTTTTAAAAAAACACTATTTATAATATAGTACTAGAGGTTTACTACAAGTATATAAAAAAATATAATATATAATACTATTTAAGTTTATATTAGGCTTATCTCTTTTAAAGCTATATAAAGATACGCTACTAGTAATTACTACTAGTATTATATACTACTAGCTTACTTACAATTTCCTGTATACTAAAGCTAATTCTAAAAGCTATAATCTATTACTTAAGATAATAGTAGAGTACTATAACTTATAAGAAAATATATTATATTTCTATATAATAAAGCTAAAAGCTAATAACTTATAAGTATAGTTAATAGCGTATTACATAAACGCTTATATAGCTAAGATTAATAACTACTAGTCTTAGTATTTCTTAAAGTTATAGAAGTAAGTTAAGTATTTCTTTAATCACTTATAAATAAAGCTCTACTATAATAGATATTTTTTATTTTTATTATTTCTAGAAGTAAACTACTTTACTTAACTAATAATATATTTAAATATTAATTAAAAAAGCTTTAGAAATAGCTTATATAAGTAGAGTAGATATAACTAATAAGTATATAGTAAAAGAATAAAAATAAAAAGATAAAAGTAGTATCAAAACTTAGTTACTTTACTTTTAAGGCCTTTATAGTTAAAATTAGTAGAATAAAAATATAAAATATAGTTAGTTAATCTAGAAATATCTATAATTAGCTACAGGTATAGTTATAGTAATTATAGAGGTTAGTGATTAGGTATAAGTAGAGCGCAGCTCTTAGGCTACACTTTAACTATACTTAACTACTAAGTTCTAATATTACGTAAAGAACTTTAAAGAAAGTAAGTAAAGTATCTTATACTTATACAGAGTTTATTGTAAGATTTTATAGTTAAGTTATTATCTAATTAATTATATTAAGTAGAAAAGATAGCTAGTACTTATAATATTTATATAGATATATTTATAATAAAATAATATAGTATTACTTATAATTTTAATAGTATAATATATAAAGGCCTAAGCTCTAAGCGCTAAGCGCTAAGTACTATACTTAGTATTATAATTATTCTTATACTTATAAAGAAATTAGTAGTAATAAAGCTATAATAGTAAGCTAGTATATAAAGCTATTTTAAATATATATTCTATTTTAATACTAATCTTTTAACTATTTTATATTATAGTATCTATATAATATTATATAGATACTAGGTATTAATACACTATATAGCTTAGTTGTATAGAGTATATTCTATAATAAGTAGTAGAAAATCTGTAATATATTATAGTAATACTATTGTATTATCAGAGTTCTATATTAAACGTATTGCGATATTTTCTAGAGTATTAAAGATCTAATTATATATCTCTCTATACAATCTCTACTGTTTTAGTTCTACTTCTATAACGCTCTCTGCAACGCCTGGGTAGCTATATACATGTAGACATTCTAATCCGGCCTTTTGCAGTATCCTTCTCCAATCCGATTCAGTTCTCTCATGTACAGAGAGATGTGCTAACATCATCATGTCCATCGATGTGGCAGCAATAGTGGGCTTCTCTTCCGACAACACGATCTCGTTCAGCAACACCCGCGAGTACCCAGGCTTGAGTGCAGGTTTCAAGTTCTCGAGGATGTTGATTCCTTCCTCGTCACTCCAATCGTGTAGTATAGAATGGAGTGCATATGCCCTTGCGGCCTTGATTGGTTGCCGGGTGAAGAAATCGTGAACCGTGCTGTCGAATGGCAGTTTGTCCTTATCCTGGATACTAGCGATGACAGGTTCTAGGTCCTGGAGCACAGCCTGGGAAGGCTGTGCCTTGTACTGCGCCACGAATTGCTGGACATCATGTCCCCGGCCACCACCTACATCTACCAGCAACACTTCGTTGTTGGCAGGATTGAAGCCTTCGATCAGTCGGTCGGCGACTGGATAAAAACCTGGATCGAACCAGTTCGCCTTACCAGCCCGGTACGCTGACATGAAGTTACCGAACTCATCTAGATGGGGTGGTGTAGCCTCCAGCCATGGAAAGAATGGCAGCTGCGTTCCATGCGCCATTTGGAAAGGCCCATCCGTAGGCGAGGCCGGTGACTTGTAGTCCGTAGTCTTAAAGAAGTCGGGAAAGCGATTGAATGATGGCCGTGCAACATCATAGCAGAAGTCGATACTTTTTTGGTAGTTCTCTGCTGCAAGCCCATCGCTGAGGTTTGACCCGAGGAAACGGTCATTAGAGAAGGCAACAACCTTCGTGGCAATCAGGTGACGCATGATCCGTCGTAGCAAAGTCGACTCAACGCCTGTTTTCCGTGCAAGATCATCGGCGCTGAGGCCAGCTTCGCCTGCATCCTTGAGATGTTGGAAGAGCTTGACTTCAACGGCAATCTTGCAATGTGCAGATAATGCAGGCTTCGATATGATTAGCGCAATCGCGTCCATTCGGATTTGGGCGACCAACCTCCGCCCAAAAACTTCTTTGTAGGAATTCACTCGGAATCTCGAGACTTGCTATGAGGTCTCTGGCAAGGTCGATTAAGTTTTCCCGTGAACCAACTTCGTTGCTTTCAAAAGCCTTGCCGGCCGACGTGATGCGCTCGAGAATGATTGGAACTGATGTCGACATACTGCCTGGGTGTAGAGTGATGAAGTCGATTTCTTCCGACCTTGGTGCAAGAATCAAAGAGTCAAGACGCTTTATATAAGAATTCCGTACGTACAGACCCCCTGGTGGAAGTCGCACCCAGTGCGGCTGCTGTCTTCCTGTGGCGCTATGCGACGCTGTTCATGACTCGCACTACGTGTACGGCTTCCTCACTACCGCTTCAGTGACATAGCTGAGGGTACAAAAACGTTGCGTTGGCACATTAAAGACACATCTACAAGGCATTCTATGTCCAGCGCTGGCCGGCCCGAGTAGGCACGACTTCATATCAGAGATACCTAGGTACCTACCTAGGTACTTGACGAGCTTACAGACAACTTGTTCAAACCAGGGAGGGCTGCGCCTATTGCCATCCCATCCTTATCGCGACGTTGGTTCGATAAGGTTCGACCGGATCTGGATAGTTAGGTAACCTATATGGTATTTTTGTGGGGTGCGGGCTGGAGCGACGGCCCCAGGGACACGGCTCGGTCAAGATTCCGTTAATGTATGAACACCCGAGAGAAGCCATGCACAGTACATCGCAACCTCTCTGGACACCATTACCCAACACAACTGAGTACAACAGAAGACAGATTTATAGCTTTGTTTAGTATGACAAAATGCTATCCTGAGTGAGGCGACCCTGCAGGTAGCATGCGGTATTAGGTAAATTTGCGCAGACGCAAACAGAGAAATTCGTCCGAAGCAACTGTGCCACATCCTCAAAGCATTCAGGATTTTCGAAGGATGAGACTAAACATCAATAAGAATTCTATGGAGAATCCCTGTGCTCTCCAACGAACGAGATTAACAACTCTGCCGCTTCTTGGCTTGATGAAATAATGCCAGCCTTTCGATTCGAGGCAGGATACACGACACTGGATGAGCTGGTTCGTAACCCTTGTCCATGTTTCGTAATTTGTACCGTGGCCTTGGGAGTGATTGACCTCGATGTAGGATTGACCTCATCGTGTTAATTTTCATCCCTTGACCAGAGTGCCATCCCAATATATTTGCTCGCCTCGAGCTCTTCGTCGTATGTTCCTACAAACCGTCGGTCTGCATAGTGAAATGCAACCGCGATCACATCTTAATACTATCGAAGTCTGAGTGCTTTTGTTTTCAGGTGCCTTGCTTCCCTTTCCAACACGTAGAAGACTCTGCAATGATGGCAGAGTCTGTGGATCTCACCGAGAACAGACAGACAGAGGTTCTAGTTGTAGCATGGGTCATGACTGGAGCCGCAGTTATGACTGTGGTATCAAGCTTTTTGCTCGAGCAAGGATAGTCCACGTCGTTGGATGGGACGACTTCTTCATCTTCCTGTCACTGGTATGGAGTTGCTGCACAGCCTTTCCATCGAGCAAGACTGGGTTCTCATGATTCCAACAGATTTTTAGTGTCATCGCCTCATCGTTCGTACATTATGGAGTTCAGTTGGGATTCGGCCAGCACACAGCAGTAGTGGCAGAAAAGTATGGCAACCAGCGACTGTTCCAGGGTGCTAAGGTTCAAATGCTTGGATATCGTAAGTTGGTCACAACGGTGGTCCTCTTCCAGCGGTGTCTGAGCTGACATGTTCGCAGCTTTCAATATTGGTAGGTGACCTGCAATATATCATTACAGTTCCTCTCTCTAAGTAGCATGCGGTAGCTGCATTCAGTTTCCCAAACATATCTATCGCGATACTTGTTTGTCAAATTCTTCCCTTGAACCCACAGCGGACCATCGCCCTACATACAATGGCGATCTTGCAGGTCATCTTCGCCATCATCACTATCGCCCTAGTGTTTGCACAATGTCAGCCAACTAGCAAGCTGTGGGAGAAAACCCTGCCAGGCTCATGCTGGAGCCCGGATATTGTCAACTACTTCTCTTACTGGCTTTGTGCATACACTGCACTTACAGACATGGTTCTAGCAATTGTTCCATCACGCGCATTCTGGAATCTTCAGATGCCTCGTTTTACAAAAGCAGGGCTGATTGCCATGATGAGCATGACTATGCTGTCCGCAGTCGTCACTACAGTGAAGGGAACATATCTACCACTGTTTACAGACACGACAGACCCTTGTGAGTTCCTCAAGGGACGATGATAGAACGACACTAATCAATGCGTAGTATGGAAACCTGTACCGCTCGTCCTGTGGGGCTTGTACGTCACGTTCCCTCATCAAAACTGAAGCCTATGTACTAATTCTTTGGCAGGGTTGAGCAAAACATTGTTATCATAGCTGCTTGCGTTCCCACTATGCGTCCATTCTTTAATCGTGTTTGGGAACGCGGTCTCACATCGAGATCGGCCCCTCACTCAAGGTCCTTAGCTCTCGATCCCTTTTCGTCTGCAACTAGAGGGAGGGACCGGTTGGAACGACAAAACGAATCAAACTCAGACCTTGCTCTTGTCGGCGCAGAAGTAGAAATGCATACTCTCGACAAAGCGATAGATAAGGACGATGCAGCCAGTCGTGAAAGTCAACGAGGCATTGTCCGAACAGTTGAAGTAAGAATGGATTGGAATGATAAGGGCATGTAGTAAGCCGTTATAAGTTGTATGATAGTACCTTCAGTTTGCGCATTGCATACGGACCGCGTGCAGCTAGCATTTGCTAGAGCACTAGAGTGCTTACGTCTTGCTAAAAAGTTAAAGCACATACTAGCCCTTTGGAAAGGGCTAGTATTCGCGCCTCAATTACTAGTTGCATGTAAGATGCGGGGTAACTAACCTGCAACGACGCGTATTTAGTTACGGACATGTCCTCATGTTTCTGATGTAAGAGCACTTCTTTAACAGTTTTTGCTCGCCCTTATCTTCCGTTCGTCACTCCCGCACTGACCGGCTGTATCTGCAGATTGAGAGTCTGATGATATCGTGCCTTCAACCTTCCCAAAATACAGGCACGCTGCAGCCTTACGGCTCTTGACACTGCGTTTTCATGGCGCACGAGGAGTTGTTGGGGGCGGCGGGGCGTCGTGGCTTGCTAAGTCCGTCCGGCTGAGGTGTAAGACAGCTGCATGTAAGACCAGCTGGATCTCGTTCACTAGAGCTTGCAGCCCGGGCGAGAATCCAAGCAGACCATGCCATTCAAAAAGAAATGAGATGAGTTTCGGACGGAATACTCTAAAGCTGGGCAACTGCTTCATCCGCCCGCTAAGTGACCTTGCCTGATTTCTGCTCAACCATCTCTTATCGACAATGAAGAACCTCTGGCTGGTAACCATACCCACCGCCGCGGTTGCTGTTAAAGCTTCGAACGGCACGTTTTTACAATGTTTGGAGTCGGCTTTCGGTAACGACACCAACCTTTACTCCCTACCTGAAGACCCACTGTTCTTACAAGGGGACGTGACACCATACAATCTGGATTACCTCAATATTCCAGCTGCAATTATATCCCCAAAGACGCAACAGCAAGTATCGCAAGCCGTCAAGTGTGCGCATACAGCAGGAGTTGCAGTACAGGCGCGCAGTGGCGGCCATAGCTATGCGAACTATGGTAAGGCAGAGTCCACGAAGAAGACTCGTGGTAGTGGAGTTGCTAATAATTGCGTTACAATTAGGATTGGGAGGCTTCAATGGGTCCCTGGTAATGAACATGAAGAATATGGGTGCTTTCAGTTACAACGAGACTGATCAGACGGTTACTTTTGGTCCAGTACGTCGCCTCCTAACATTGAACAGACTAGAAGACCCTTCGTTATTTCCTCAGCTGACTTGAACAACTTTTATAGGGGAACCTTCTCGGAAACCTCTCGCAGAAGCTGCAACCCCTCGGGCGGGTTATGGCATACGGTGAAGTGGACGTCATCGGCTCAGGTGGCCACATGACCATTGGCGGTCTCGGAACACTCAGTCGACAGCTGGGACTGGCAACTGATCAGATCGTATCAGCGCAGTGCGTGGTCGCAAACGGTTCCATTGTGACAGCCAGCGCAAGCACGAACCCTGACCTGTTCTTCGCTATCCGAGGCGCTGGTTTCTCGTTCGCTATTGTTACAGAGTTCACCATGAAGACTGCACCCGCGCCATCTGAGATTACCCAGTATGCGTACAACATCACGGCCAGGGATACGACCTCTTTCACAAGCACATTCCAAGGTTGGCAAACACTCGTCTCGCAGCCCAATCTCAGCCGCCAGTTTTCCAGCACTGTCACTCTCAGCCAAGGCTCGATGATCATCAATGGCATCTTCTATGGGCCGCGATCTGAGTTCGATGCGCTAGACACCAAGTCTATCATGCCTACCAATAGCTCAGCCGTATCTGCGCAGAGCACCGTTGTCACCGTGCCATTCATGGGCCTCGGCGACCCCACTCTTACAGCCACTGGCAGCTTCCCGCTGCACTTCTACGCCAAGAGTGTCAAGACGACGAACAAGACACTGATGTCGAACGAAACCATTCAATTGATGTTTTCGTACATCAATGCGACAGAGAAAGGATCACCCGTGTGGCTCGTCATCTGGGATCTCGAAGGCGGCGCCATATCCGATGTTTCTCAGACGGCTACCGCGTACTGGCACCGTGATGCGCTCTATTTTATGCAGAGCTACGTCGTCAGTCTTACTGAGCCCGTCAGCGATGTCTCCAAGAGCTTCTTGGCCGGCCTCAGCCTCCTGGTGCAGAATGAGACGGGCGCAGATCAGAGTGCGTATCCAGGTTATGTCGACCCTGAGCTTGGGGATCCACAGCGGTCTTACTGGGGCTGCAATGTGCCTCGCTTGCAGACGGTCAAGGCGGCGCTCGATCCTGATAATGTCTTTCGCAATCCTCAGACTGTGTCGACTACCTATAATGCCTCAATATGTCCGATTCAACAGTCTCCTCCACCGACTTCGGGCTCCGTGGCACCAGCCTATATGGGGCAGTGTACCCTGTTGTCTATGGTTTTGTTAGTGGTAGTCTTCTACTTGTGAACTTGGGCAATCTTTCAAATTCGGCTGGATACTCCGCACACAGTACTAGAAATGAGAGTAGAGCTAGTACTCTAGTTCTTATGTGCGACAGTTGTCCTGATCATTGAGTATCCTTCCCATGAGCTTTTACACGTCCTAGGTCTGGTGTCAGCGCCGATAAGTCTGCATGCGGCTTTCATCGAGTCTCTTTGTTTCAACATTAAATGCAAAGGCTTGAGGATGAAACGGGCGTAACCAATACCCGTTGTTGTGTTGCAGTATCGGCTTCTCTAGCCGTGGAGGGGTTCCACATAGCCTTGACGCGCTAAGGCAATCAAGCAGAAGCGATTTCCCGCCGTGCACGGCTTAGCTGTATCAAGGCTGCACGCCAGCAGGCTTAACGCGTATCGACCAATAACAAGCTCAGACGATCGACGCGACACAGGCGCACGTCTCGGCTGGGGCCCACTGCGCCTGTCCTCTTCCAATGTCATGATGTACCTCGTTGCCGTTCGTGCCTTGCTACTGGGGCCGCTTAGGGAAGGCTGGATGGACTTGCGGCAAGCAGGCATGATGGTGCTTGCCCGATACGTGATGGAGATTAGAAGGATTGATAGCTTGGTTCGGAAGTCTGTTTGTGTCGACGGGTATTTCTCGTCTTCCTTCCCTCAACCGATTCACCCTCGTTGCGCTTTCTTTCTCTACGGCTCAGTCCTTCACTCGTTACTCACCGGCTCCGTCGCTGTTTGCTCTGTGCTTCTGGCGAGCTAGTGCATTTGCTCAACATCTGCGCAAAGCTATCGCGACCTGTTTTCTCCCGCAACCACACCCGAGGATCCAGCGGCCAAACCCATCACCTGTCGCAGTGCTACAAGATGGTTCAATTTCTATCGCTGAGCCTACTGGCTGGCTTGAGTTCTGTCGCGTCGGCTATTCCTACCATTGAGGTCAAGGGCTCCAAGTTCTTCACCAGCGAGGGCAATCAATTCTTCGTCAAGGGTACGAACGCCAGCTCGTGAAACCAAAACAGCTACTGACCAAAGCCGGCAGGTATCGCCTACCAACTGGTACCCGACGATCCCCTCATCGACGCGACACAATGTGGTCTCGACTCTGCCCTCATGAAGACCATCGGCGCCAACTCGATCCGTGTTTACCATGTGGATCCTGATGCGGATCACACCGATTGCATGAAGACATTCGCTGACGCTGGAAGTACGTACACCGCACATATGAGATCAAGTCTGTGTCTATTGGGTTGTACTGGGGGCAGTGTATGCCTCTGGGGTACAATTCGCTTCTAGCTACAACTTGGACATGAGCTTTTCATTGTCAACTGGCGCAAAGCAACAGCTTTGTGAACACAAGTTCCCCAAGGTCCATGAGGCTAACTTGTCTTTGATAGTCTACATCTGGGTCGACCTCGACACGTTCGATACCCAAGTCGAGCAGAACACTCCTCGCTGGGAGACCGATCAACGCGACGCCTTTGCCAAGGTCATGGATGAGTTCCATCAATACGACAACGTGGCTGGCTTTTTCATTGGTAACGAGGCTATTACCACTGTCAATGGCTCTGTTACCGCCCCTTACATCAAGGCCGCTGCCCGAGACATGAAGGCTTATCGCGATGAGAAGGGCTACCGCAGTATCCCTATTGGGTACTCAGCTGCCGACATCGCATCTCTCCGACCTATGCTTCAGAACTATCTGGCCTGTGGTAGCAATGCGTCTGAGCGCCTAGACTTTTTCAGCCTGAATGCTTACTCTTGGTGTGGACAGAGTACGTACCAACAATCGGGTTACGACCAGCTGGAGAAGAACTCCGAGGATTTGCACATCCCAATCTTCATGTCGGAGACGGGTTGCAACACCGTGAAGCCCCGCGATTTCAAGGATCAGGAGGCGTTATTTGGAGAAATGTCCGATGTCTGGTCTGGAAGCATCATCTACGAATGGATCGAGGAGCAAAACGACTATGGACTCATCAGCTATGGCCCTCACGTCGACCCAGCCAGCCCTTCTGCACCGCCGGATGGCTTCCCTCGCTCAGGTACGTTCTGTGTGGCGCACTCTACGCATGCATTTAGACTAATGACTTCCGCAGGAAAGCCTACTCCAGTTGAACCTGACTTCCCCAACCTCTCTGCTGTGTGGGCAACACTCAACCCAACCGGCGTGAAGGCATCGGAATACAACCCAACAAACTCGCCTGTCGCATGCCCAGACTACACTGCATCGGTCTGGGAGGTTGTTCCTACATCGCCACTTCCTACGCTGGGTCAAAAGCATGACTTCAACGGAACCCCTACATCTGCGGGCTCCAGCGCAACAGCGACTGGAGGTTCCGGTGCGCAAGAGTCTGGCTCATCTGGATCTGGTGGAGCAGAAACCTCTGGACCTGCCTCCACTGGTGCTGCTGCGGACAGCTTAGCCAAGGAGCTCAAGGGCATGGGTGCTCTGTTCGCGGGTGTAGTTGCCATCTTCGCCTTGCTTTGAGTGCGTCACATATGACATCTAGAGGCATCTGTCCATGCGACTTGAACGTGGACAATTCTTTTGGTGAAGCATACGCCAAATGCTCGGTATCATGTTTCGTTGTACATATCTTGAACTATAGATTTTTGGCATGACATTGTACGTACAACACGGGATTATGGATTGACGAAAAAGGTTTTTCAATTGTATACGTTTCAAGAATATTAGTTGCAACCATCGCAGTGTGTTCCAGTTCAGTACCAATCCATCAAGCACCGCACATGGCTCACGCATGGATGAGACAACATTAACCTTTGGCAGGCTCAGCATTTTACAGGCTCAAGTGGAATCATATCAACAGTGGGGACAGGTGATCGTGGTAGTCATGGTGCAAGGTTCGCATTGAAGGACTGGGCGCCAATTAAGTACAACCCGATCGCCAGCACAGGGCTTTCCCCCATACCTCAGAGAAGCATGGATATCTTTCCCTCATAAGCGCGTAGCATTGATCATATCCCTCAAGACGACCCTCTCCACTGAAAGCATGGTATTCTTGAGTTTTTGTCAAACGGTCTCATTTTTTTCCTTTTCCTTTCCCTACTCCTACGCCGACATGCCAGTGGTTGTCAAAGACAGGGTATGTAAGAGAAGAATTGACGAAGATGCTCAAGATGATATCTACCACTGGGTGGTGGTAGCAGGGGCAGCAGTCTCAGCACCCCAGCCTTCGTTGCCAGTCTGAGCATCGCCAGACGCAGCCCAGTCGGCGGTGTCAGCGTCCCAGCTGGTGCCGGGGGCAGCGGCGGCCTGGGCAGTGAAAGCACCAGCAGATGCGCCGGAGACCTCCCACTCGCTAGTGAAGCCATCAGCGACGGCACCAGGGCCAACCTCGTCGGCACCAGGGACCTTGGCCTCCTCAACACCAGCGCTGTCCTTGTTCTCCTCAGCCTCGGGGTCGCGGTAGAAGTACAAGTCAGTCATGACGTCCCACTCGGTCTCGCGGTTGGCGAGGGTGCCGCGGAGGCGGAGGACCTCACGGGCAAGCATCCACCAGATCAAACCAATAGCGTGGCGACCCTTGTTGTTGGTGGGGATGGCAACATCGACGTACTCGGTAGGTGAGTCTCCGTCACAGAGGGCCTGTCACATGTTAGTCCGCCTGCTTCAATCGCTGATTCCACGCGATTTCATGCTTACAATGACGGGGATGTTGACGTAGGAAGCCTCCTTGATGGCCTGGGCGTCGGTGCGGGGGTCGGTGACGATAACCAGGCGGGGCTCCCTGAAGGAACGGGTGATGTAGTTGGTGAAGTTACCGGGGGTGAAACGACCAGCGATGGCGGTGGCACCGGTGTGCGATGCGAACTTGAGGACGGCACGCTGTCCGTAGGGACGGGCAGAGATGACACAGACTACACGGTGTCAGCCAAATTCCATTTTCGCAAATGGTCGCATCTTTCAAGATTGTCGGTCTCGAATTGCGCGAGCAAACGTACTGTCGGCCGGGTTGTCAATGGCGACGATGATGCGCGCGGCAAGGACAATCTTCTCCCAGGTCTTGCCAATGTTCAAGACGTTGACACCGTCGGGCCTGGTCTTCCACAGGTATGGCTCCATGTGAACCTGGAGGTTCTTGCTGCCGAGATGGCACTGAGCAGCCAGGAGCATCTCAATGTCCTGCTGGGTGGGGTTGAAGATGGCGGGAAGGTTGGAAGGAGCCATTTTGACGGTTTGGCGCTGTACAAGCTGGTTGGTATAGAGAAGTTGTCGTGTTGCGTGCGAGGGAACTTTTGGTGGAGGGACTTGGACGATGCAAATATCGTGTGGGAACGGCTAGTCCCCAACGGGCTTCGCGTCACAGCGCTGCCGGCATCGGCGAAACCAGTCGCCGGTCATGGATCCGCAAAAGATTCGAGGGTGGTGGCAGCGAGTGTGTAGCCAGCAATGCCGCCGCGAATACCAGCTTTGTCGTGCCTGCGGGCGCCGACATGTACGTACGATAGAACATTTTCCAGTGCCTCGTACTGACATGCCCCTCCAGCCTCATCCGTGTCATACCAACTCACCCTGCCCATTCGAACTTTCGCCTCCACATCGCGAGTTCACGCCGAATCAATTGAGCGACAGAAGAAACGCCTTGCCAATGACCCGTACATAGTCGCCCAGCGGAACAGGAAGAAGGCTGCCAACCTCACGCGCCGCGCTGAGCTCGAACAAGGCCGGGTTGCCAGTCTTGGAGACCCTGTCCGTGGCGTTTCCACACCATTTGTGCAGTCGTTCGATACTGGAAAGCCGATTGAACACGAACAAGGCAAAAACGTACCAAAGGACCAGAAGCACCTTAACTATGCCTTCGATCCCGAAACCGTTTACCAGCAGCTCCAGAAGAGCCAAGAATTAGCTGTGCCGCTGAGCGACGTTGAAAAGCACACCACACCTGCATCTACCCAATGGAGCAGTGACATATATGGTGGAAGGATAACGGAAATCGAGAAATCGGCTGAAGAGATTGGAGAGCAAAATAAGAAGGATCATGCCCGAGCCGCTGAGGCCATCGCCCGTATTACGGCCCTTGAAAACGGGTCGAGCAAAGATCGTATGCGTGTGAACATCTCACGTTGTATCGAGACATTTGGACGCCACAAGACCGACAAAATATTTCCACCCAAGGCCCCATCGCTGAGTCGGTCTGGTGCTGATGAAACACGCGTCGTCCGCCCAGAGACAAACAAAGCAGCAGCCGCGAAGCGAGTCGGACCCGATACAGGCTCTTCCGAAGTCCAGATTGCCATCTTGACCGCCAAGATCAAAACCCTGGCAGATTTCTTACAGTCAAGAGGAAAGGGCGACAAGCACAACAAGCGAAACCTGCGGCTGCTGGTGCACAGGAGGCAGAAGCTGTTACAATATCTGAGAAGGAAGGAAAGAGGCGGCCCGAGGTGGCAGCATTGCATTGAAACGCTTGGGTTGACTGAGGGCACCTGGAGAGGCGAGATATCCTTGTGAGAGCATGAAGATGAATGCAGTGTACTTGTGGATAAACCTTGTAGAACAACTTTCGACTCTGTGTGAACATAGCATGTTTGTCTATCACACATGTTTTTCTATCACAGCGTTCACGTCCACATTTTGCCGGCATGGACGCCATCGCACGAATGTCTTGTGACTTGTCGAAGCGCCTTTTGCAGTGACCCACGAACAGGTGAGATGGATCGAATTATCCCATCGTTTGTTTGACGGCATTCTCGCTAGCCTATCTTAGGCAAGCTTAGTCCTGGATTCTTCCATTCGGCTCATGGCTAGCAAGGGCGTTTTCACGCGAAGGATGTTAGTAAAGGGCGTAATCACACTGAACCCATCATTGCAAGTCATTATCTACCTGTCAACATACCTCCCACTCAAAGTCTGCCAAGTTGTTCAGTTCAAAGAACTTTACAATCACTACTTTGCCACAAGCTGAACTACGCATACTTGAACCTCTCGAGACGTCCTCCCTGCCATAACCAGAATAGTCGAAGGCATGTCGACAAGGTCCCCGCCTCAGGCTGACCCATGGTCTAGTCAGCGGCTGCACTACCGTGCTATCCGTCCAAGCGACATATCTGTCTTCCACGCCATAAGCGCTGACCACTCCGGTTTCGCAAACAGTAATTTTAATAATATCAAATTGCCTAGCACTTCAGATTCGGAATCGTTCATGAAAGGGCTACTCGACGACTGCCTCCTGGGTGCCATCATCTGGCTGCCCCACACAACGGAAACTACCCTTATGAATGACGAGGACCGATCAAAAGACTTTGCGCAACGAAGGAAGAATGGAGAAGTGGTTGACGAACAACTTGGTACTGCCGTCGGTGAGCTTCATATGCATGCGCTGCCGATGCACAAACAACATCACCGGAACACTGAGATTGGACTTGATATCCTTCCGCCATACCAGGGCAAGGGTTATGGTTCTGAAGCCATCAATTGGGCGCTTAACTATGCCTTCAAACGTGCAGGTCTGCACCGAGTCAAAGTTCGAGCTTTCACCTACAACGAAGGTGCTGTACGGTTGTATGAGAAGTTGGGATTTGTGCTTGAAGGGAGGGAGAGAGAGAGCGTGTGGTATGAGGGACAGTGGTGGGATGTGGTAATCTTTGGTATGCTAGAGAGAGAATGGCAGAGACTCAGCAGCTGAGAGTGAACAAAAGCCACTTATGCACAGAACTATAGCTGTGATTCATGATTAGACGATAATGGCCGGGGGTTAAACTAGTTGCCGATAGTCTATATGGATCTTCCCGTCCGCTCAGGACATACCGTACTGCAACCCCTCCATATCTGTAGCTCTGATGACCATCGTAGCGTTATTGGCCCTTCTCTCCGCGGCGTCATAAAGCGCCTGTATATCTTGCTTCCACATCGTCTCGTTCATGCGAATGATCTTCCTGTCGTAAGTCATCATTCCGTTGACTTCCCCCTCCACGTCTGTGGTCTGTGTCCAAACGCCTCCTGAGCATGCGAATAGATCAATTTGCTCGCGCAGTTGCACGAGTAAGTCGTGACAACGATAGTTCCACCATCCGGTCCCATTGGTAAGCTCGTATGCAGTTTGGCTACTCAGTTCCTTGTACCAGGCGTGGTCAAAGTTGTTTTCCACAAGTTGGGTTCCAATGCCACCGAACTCGCCTTGAAGGCCAATGCGTGAGCTATCATAGGCAGAATCATAGCCGCTACCTTGGTTAGACCAGAATGGCGTTCCGCATTGGGGTGTGGAGTAATGGTGATTATCGTCAAAGTCACCTGCTCTGTGGTCGGTCCAGCCGCTGACAGCATTGACTAGACGAGTAGGATCAATCTTCCGGACCATATCCGTCAGATTAAACTCGGGCCACGGAGGACCATTAGTAGCTTGACCCCATTCTTCGTTGTAAATCGTCCAAGCAAATATACTAGGGTACGACTTCAACTGCTCGACCATCAAGCCCAACTCCCGGTCAAACTCTGCTTGCGCGGCTTCGCCTGCTAAGCGCTTGCTGCCACATACACCGTCTGGTAAGTCTGGTCGAAGCGAAGGCATGTCTTGAATGACCAACATTCCCATCTCGTCGCAAGCTCTGTAGAAGAGCGCCGGTTCTACCTTGATATGCTTACGTACCATGTTGTAGCCGACATTTTTCAGTACTTTGAGATCGTACACCATGGCTTCTACGCTTGGAGGTGTGTAAATTCCGTCTGGCCAGTAGCCTTGATCCAGAGTGCCAAAGGGAAAGATGAATTGTCCGTTTAGGAGCGGGCGCTGGATACCGTTGATGGCACCTCGGGAAACAGTCCTAAATCCAGTGTAGCTCTGGATAGTATCACTACCCATCTTGACCGTGATGTTATACAAGACCGGACTGCTTGGAGTCCATAGCTCCGGTGAGCTAACAGTAAAGGTAAATGAGGATCCGCTTGTACCCGTCGCTGTCGCCTTAGCGTCATTAGAGTTCAGTTCATGAACCGTGATCTCGTATGCAGTGCTCGTAGAGTTGGTGCTACTATGCACAAATACATTCACTTCGTCATGTTAGCTATGGCATATGTGAAAATATGCTTTGCATTTACCATTCCCGTTCATGTCTGCTGTCAGATCGAGTTTGGAGATGTGCTCTTTCGGTGTTGATTCAAGCCAGACGGTTTGCCAGATGCCTAAAGATACGTGTCCGAAGTCAGTTTGTGTCCCACGTGCAGTTCGTACAGGGACATTTCTCACCACTGCAAGGCGTATACCAGATCATTCCGCCTCGGTTCAAGGTTTGCTTTCCGATTGGTATCTGAACATCATCCACATCTGTCGGGTCAAAGGAATATACCAGTCTGCGTTCTCATCAGCTTTGTTCTCAATCCCTGAGTGGGTAAACTTACAGCTCATTCGTCCCGTTCATGTTCAAATACGGCGTCACATCTACACTAAACTCAAAGTATCCACCTCTATGGAAACCAGCTTTCTGGCTATTGACAAAGATGGTGGCTTCATAATCAACAGCGCCAAAGTTCAGAATGACACTGTTGTCACTGGGCCAAGACGTGGGCACTTCGAACGTGGTCTGGTACCAACTCCACATGCGACCCTTACCTGTCACGCCTTGGCAGCGTCAGTACTGTGCCTAGTAGGAAGCCTGAGCGGACTGACCTGAAAGAGCACTCTCGAGACAGAAGGGGACTAGAACAGGATTCTCGAGTGTCTGTCCAAACGGAGGCGATGCGTCTGATCCATTGGTAGTATTTCTGTAACCCCAAACGCCATTGAGGTTTTTCCAGTCAGGCCGTTGAAGGCGTGGTCGTGGATATTCAGGCCATGGATTGGTTCCCACCGTATCTGTCCAGTCTGTCTTCAAAGGGGTGTATCCGACTTTGTATTCCGTGCCATTGCTTTGACGTGAATAGATCTTTTTGTCGGTATGAGCGGTAGAGGCCAATGCTAAGAAGCTCGCGACTATACCAAAACTAAGTTGCATATTGACAGGACCGGATACCAGGTGCGCATCCGGGTTGCGATGAAGAATAGTCAAGATTGACAAGATGATGACGCCTTTTAAGCTTTTCAGCAAGGAGGTGACTAATAGCGGCATAGTTCAATGGTACCTAGGTACCTGTGATGGCTGCGTAGCTGCATATCGATATTCTTGGCTCTGGGGATAGCGGCGGGATGATCCTGGTGGCTGTACACCTTGGACGATCACTGCAGTATTGGAATAGCTCGGCGCAGGTTTGCACATGCCAAAATAGTCGCGTGGCTGGACCGGCTGATCAGATTCTTGACTCCTGGCAAGTAGTTACAGTATGTCCAAGAGTTACTGCATGAGCATGTTGGCTCGAACACAGCAAGGCTGATAGTGCGAAACCACGACATGATCTTAGAGCAACGCAGTAGATGCATACCGGGATGCATGTCTACCTGCCGGATGTCAGATGCAGAGGAAGTACTGATCAGCTGCGATCTGCGTCTTGGCTGTCAGACCGATGGATTCCCCGCACCATTCGGATCAAATGGGGCCGGATTGTGATTTCGAACCACCCAACAACGACCAGAAGTCAAGTGCAGCGTCCAGGCTACGCACTACAATGTGTCGAAAAGCGTGAATACAAGAATCTTTGGGTTTTCACGTGGACGTCTGCAAAACCGACTGACGTATGCCGAGCTTCTAGCATTGTTGTGTTTATGCTGAGACCTGCGCAAGTGACCTCAATATACTAGCGATGGACTATCCCATAAGGAGTGCAACAGGATCAGGGTTGAGCAGCATGGCCTGGGGTCGGGGTTGGGGTCACCAACAGTGCAGCCTTGAATTCAGAGTAGATGTAACTAAGCGGGATACCGGGAGGCCCCGCTTTGGCAACTTTGGCTGATCAGAGTCAACCCGTGATGGTTTCGTGTGTGCAAAGCAGATGCTCAAAAGATCACTCGGAGAGACAGTATCTCAGGGTTATCGTTGTTGGTATGTATTAAGCATTCTTGCGCTATAATGTAGTAAGGGTAGAAAGTATGCGTGTGGAACATGGGGTATGCACACGTCCGCGGAAGTACGACAATCCCTGCATCATAGCTCACCAAAGCCTTGTGTTTTCAGCAGCCACGATCCACGTGCATACCCCTCCTTCGCACAACAGCATTGTTTTCTTCGACGATTGCCTTCTTGATCCTGCTGTTTGGGTCACCTTGCGGTCCTGGGGTGAGTACTGCCACGTGCAGCCCAGGCTTGCCGATGTGTAAAACCCCGCAATCTCGCAAAGTACGTAGGGTGCCTAGCTATCTCAAGCTACCGATCATGCAACCGAGTATTGAAAGGGATGCCTTCTTGAGCCTTATGCTGAGGCCAGACTTCTTTCAAGCCTCACGGTAACAGCATAAACGGCTTAGACCACGACTTTCCCCTTGATGAAGTCGGCCTCAGGGGGCTAGAAGGGCGGGCAAACGATGGAGATGTAGGGGAACGTGGCGATATAGGCGAAGTGGGAGAGCCTGGAGGCATGGGCGCTTC